AAAAATATTATGCATTTGAAAAATGTGATATAAATTGTTAGAGAAATATCATTTTCATTTAAACCACATGCATAAACATTCAAATTTAGGTCAAAATTTTAAAATTTGTAAAATCAAAGTATTTGAAAAGTTGATATCAATTGTTAGAGAGATATTATTTGCATTTAAAACCAATTTGACCAAAATTTTATTATGATGAACTAAAAATTCTTAAAAAGTAATATATCTTTAAAATGTTCATCATAATCATCTTTTCAACATACATGAGATTAAAACAATTATGCATAATCATTTAAAACCAAAACTCATGCATGCTTAAAATTAAATGAGCAACCAAACAACCAAAATTAAAAGTATTAAGCTTAGAGGTTACCCATTCCTTTTTCATATGTGGCTAGAGCATATTGAATATCATCATTTTCATTACCATTGCTCCCACACACCTACAAGAGACATTTAAGTAGATTTTGGTATCCAAATTACTTTGGATCCTTGGACGTTAGTTTCAATGCCCCTTGTTCCTTTCGGAACCCATACTTGTCTAATTTTAAAACGTTTTCCTTTCTTCAAAGGACAAGTATGTTCCTTATGACCATGATAATGACAATGTGAGCATATTGTCATTATATAACTAAATGAATTATTTAAAATGATTTCTTTTTCTTTTGTTAAGCATTTAAGCTTAACTTTTAAATCAAAATTTTCTTTTTCAAAACTTTCAATTTTTATTTTTGAAAGCTCTAAATCCTTTTTCAAATTTTCATTTTGTCTTTCAAAATCTAATTTTGTTTTCAAAAGAAAATCATTTTCGATTTTAAATTTTGAAATCGTTTTTTATATTTGGAGTTCATGGTCTCAAACTCTGAATATAACCTATTAAAAGCATCTTGTAACTCATCAAACGTATATGAATTAAATTCATTTGAGTTAGAAGATACCTCGGGCTCTTCACAACCCATTAGAGACACCACCTTTGTTGGTTATTCTTTCTTGTTTCCATGGATTTCCTCGAGCTTATTCTAAAGCTCCTTGGCACTTGAACATGAAGAAACCCCTTCATAGATTTCATGACCAAATGCACAAAATAGCATGTGCATGGCCTTGGCATTAAGTTGAACTTTCTTCCGTTCTTTGTCACTCATCTTCTTCTCCTTCTTATTTGGAGAAGAGTAGCCGTTCTCGATTATTTCCCATGCATCAAGATCATTGGATTGGATGAATACCTTCATTAATTTCTTCCAATGATGATAGTTGACTCCATTGAAGTATGGAGGTTTTTTGGTTGGTAGGGAGTCTTCCATGTGGAACGAGCCGGATGTGGAAGCCATCTTCTCGGTTGTGTCAGGAATTGGTAGAGCTTCTTTGAGGATCATCTCAAGGTAGTTAAACCTTCTTAATGAGTTAGGCTATGATGCCAATTGTTGGGATTTTAGGAAGCTCGAATCGACAACCGGAACGGTTTGCAAAGAGAGGTCGGAACGGTTTTATGTTTAGGGAGTAAGGAGATTGAAAGATAGAGAATTGCACATCGATTTACAGTGGTTCGACTTTCTCAACCAAAGTGTACGTCCACTACCTTAGCTCCTCACCAAGGATTTTCCAACAAATTCACTAATTTGTTCTTTCTTTTGAGGATAAAGAGTAACCTTACAAACTCCCTAGTTTTTCTGGGCTAAACTAGAACCTTTTCCCTAGCTTTTACACGGGATAAGCTAGAACATTTCCCCTTTACAAAAGGATAAAAGATGTAAACAAGAAAACCTCTCTAAGGTAGGTGTTTACAAGATTGAGCTCACAAGAACAAAATATTTACAAGAGAAAGATGAAATAAGAATGAAAAACTCTTCTCTTGTGTTTGATTGCTTGGATATTTGTTCTCTTGCATCTTCAAGTATCCTTAGGTTGTATTTATAGCTTGGAATGTGTTTGAAGTCGTATATAGTCGTTGGGGATGTTTTGGAGTCGTTTGGGGATGAGAAACAAATAATAAAACAACTTGGAGCGTGGGGAGAATCGGTACCCCCTCATGGGGAATCGGTTCCCTAAGTGCAATATGTTTTTTACCGTTAGACATGGGGAATCGGTACCCCCTGGGGTGGAATCTGTGCCCCTTGGACAATCTGATTTTTTCTTGGCTTTGAAACGGTTCGAAATACTTTGTAAAATTATTTTAAAAATAGTTTAAGTATAAAACACAATTTTACACTTTAGTAAGGATTAAAATGAACTTTGAAATACTTGGAGTAATATTTTGATATTCGAATAATTACATCGAATATACTTAGAAAATCTTTTGTAAAATCTTAAAATTCATTTAACTTAATTTGTTATATCGAAACATCAAAATGTTTTCAACAAATGGCATGCCATGAGGTGGAGTGAATCTGTATTTGTTTCAGATCTGACACCAAATGGAGCTCTTGTGCTCTAACTCGGTGTACCTTAGTGGTGCACGAGGTGGAGTAATTCGGTTAAACTATTTGACACTATACATATATGATTGGCACTAAGATGGTTCACTCGTGCTTTGACTCAGTGTATCTTAGTGATACACGAGGTGGAGTAGTTCGATGCAGTCTGTTCTGACAATGAATTTGTATATAGCATGCTCACTCGTTATCTGACTCGCGTACCATATATTCTCATGAAAAATATAGTGGGCAAAGTAATTATCTGATCTGAATAAAATATGAAAATGATATGAAATAAAAAAGTACAAATTTAGAATGACTCAGTACAGTGACTTATCAAATTTTTATAATACTGTTTCATTTTGACTATTTGATTAGATGTAAATTATATATACATTTTATTTTGATGATGTTTATATATGAAATGATTTATTGTATATGTTAATTATTTTAAGTATGTTTTTATGTTCCCTCACTAAGTGGTTCACACGTAGGTAAAGAGAAGTCAACCGAGAAGCTCATCTTACATATTTTGAAGACTAGTTCAGATAACCAAAATCAATGACATCTTTTCGATGTTTTTGATGTTCCTTAGTTGGTATGTACATATTTATATTTTGGGACTCCTATTCAAATATGTTTGAACTCTTTTTGATCATTTGATTAATGAATAGTATTTTATATATTTTACATTATAGATTTAAATGCAATTAAATATTTTTAATGTCAAATTTAAAGGAAACAAAATTTTATCTATTTTCAGACCGTAAATGTTTTATTCGACTGATGTGACATCTTTAACTTATATACGATGACGTATATGAGTTGAGGGTGTTACAATCCTAATTGAAATATTACAATAGAAATTGAATTGTACATCAATAGTGTTAAGATGATATATAAATGTAAAAAAGATAAAAATATATTTTATATTAGATTAAACTACACGTTTAGTACCTAAATTATATATGTTATTTTGTTTTGATACCCAAACTTTATTCTTATTCAAATCCATAACTAACATTTAGTTTAAGTTTCATTTTGGTACAATGCAGTTAAAAACTTAACGATGATGTAGACGTGTCACAATAGGATAATTTTACATCATCATTGAAAAAAATAAAAATATCACGTTAGCACTTCTGTTGATTTTTTAACGACGAGGTACTAAATGGAAACTTAAACTAAATGTTAGATATGATTTTGAAAAAAATAAATTTGGGTACTAAAATAGAGCAAAAGTAATAGTCTAAGCACTAAACATGTAGTTTACCCTTTATATTAATATGCTTGGTGGAAATATAAAAAATGAAAGAAAAAGTAGTTTATGCATGGGATGAATTAGTTTATTATTGTTAATTTCTCTAATAACAATACATAAAAATAATATTCAAAACTTTATTTCCTTTTTTCCCAATGAAAGTGATGTACAAAGGATTCAAATAAAAAATATTATTTTTTGAGAAAAAAAGGAAAAAAAATTAATCAATGGAGTAGTTAAATAATTTCAAATGTTGGATAGGGTCGACATCTTGTTTAGTTTTGGAGAGTTGAAAAAAAATTGTTTAAGATGGGACATCAATGTCAAACTATCTTTGGCATTGAAATCAACCCTAAAATAAATATTGTACTATTACAAGAAAAAAATATAGTACTGTTAGTTTATAGGTTTATGATTTTAAGATTATATGCAGAGGCGGAGGGCCCTTGGGTGCTCCAATTTTTTTTTTACCCGGGTGATTGGATAATAGAATTCAAGATTTTTAGTGGGAATTTTTTTTTCAGATTCAAATTCTCATGTTTGGATGGGAAATATTTCTAATAGGGAGTAATAATATATTCTAAACAGTAAAAACTTTTATCTTTTTATTGGGAATGTTCATCCCTTGCTTTTCTTAGGTATTCTTTTATCTAAAATACCATATTTTCCCGTGTGCCTCTACCATATCTTCTTCTCCCAACCGTTCTTTGTTCTTGAACTCCACGGCACAGACTGGAGGAGTATCCGATTCTCTATTAAAAATTTACCCTTTGCTCTTCTTACTCACTTCATTTTCTTTCAGGTTACTCCTTTTCCTTCAATCTTTGCTTATCTTTATCCTTTTTGATTTGGGTGTTTGTGCTGTTTTAGATTCCTGTTAAATTCATGTTTTTTTAATTTGATTTTTGGGCTTTAAATAACAGTTAATAGAATTAAAATTTCCAAGTAATATGTTCTTTTTTTGTTGCAAACGAATCTTAAGTTTTAGTATTGAAATTCTCCGCTCTTGGATTGAAATCTGCATCAGTGGGTAGGGTAGTGTAGTTGTTAGTTGCTTTCGTCATACAAGGTTTTCTCATAGAATGATTTTCCTGGTAATAGCAGTTGAAGTCCACCGCTTATAGTGTTTGTGTTTGAATTTCGGAAAATCTAGGTAGTTTTGGTGGGGTTATCAGGATCATAATCTTCATAGTCGGGTGAAGTAGTGTAACTATTAGCTTCTTTCTTCATCTAAAGTTCTCATAGAGTGGCTTTTCCGGGTGACAACCATTAACTATCATTAAAATGAAGTTGTGCAAGAGAGCCATTAACTATAATTAACTATTAGATAAAATTCCTGATTCAAATAGAGCCATAAATTAACGATCAAACACCCATTAACCAAATAATGAAGGGATTAACTATCATGAATTACAAAAAAATGAAGTTGTGCAAGAGAAAGCCAACGTATGACTCCCAGGAAGAAGCTGACAGTACCGGTTTTGAGTAATGACTTGTTAAATTGATACATATCATTAAAATGCATAATGCATATTGAATCTTGCTTCGGCTTGAGAGAACTGATATGTCAAGAAAAGGTAGAGGGCATGCAGAACATAAAATTTCCATGCCAAAACAATTTATATGCCCAATCTGGCTCTTTGTCAAGCAAAATACCAATATCTTCTTCTAGTTAATTGAAGTAAATGTTTTAGTGGTCATTAGACTCATTACATAACTGTGTGTAAAATGTTCTAAAACTGACTAAATCCTTAGAAAATCAAAGTTCAGGAGTCATAAAGAGGACAGCTACCTTGACTAATTCCATGTTTAGAACATATGACTCTAATGTGATATGTTTAAAATTAATGAATGGTTTGATGCATATAATATTATATATGTATATTACACACACAAATTCATAAATAAATTATTCTAAAAAAGACTTGGGCTTACAAATGAATCACCAAAGGCCTCGACAGCACGGAGTCGTTCTTCATGCATGTCTTCTGTCATAAGTGGTGCATTCTATAATGATTCAAAGAAAAAGACAACTGCTACGTAAAAATTACTTGTAGGAGATTATTTAGAAAAAATTAAACAATGAATAAATCAGAGATATAAGAGAAACCTGTGTAAATGGAGCATGCAAACTCTGGCACAAATTCAGTAGCTTCATAGACCCTACAAGACCAGCTGAGCCTCTCCTTTTAGAATCTGAAGTACTTTTATCAGCAAAGGCACAATAGATCGTTAGCTATCCATATTTAAACAATATAACGATGGATCCAGGGGACACTATACACTTGTTACACAATGACCACGCAGAGAAGTAAGGTCTGTACAAGGCAAAGAACAATGAGGTGAAATATGCTCGTAATAGTGTTTTTATGTTTCTAGTTTTCAGGGTGTGACGTATTCTGGTTTTGTAAATCCCTGCTTTTGTTCCTTTTTTCTCTACTGTTGCTTGCTAGATGATGGATCTTGAGGGGGAAATCACGTGAGATAATCTCAGGTTTCTTTTAGAGAGAATAGACCTGAAAGTGTAAGTTGAATGAAGTATAAAACTTCCGTATGATATTTAGTGCTGCATTTTCTTTTAATTCAAAAAAGAAATAGATGCTACCCTTTATTTCATGCGGCATATTCTTTTGCACCTTGAAGTAACTATCATGAGAATTTCTTTTGTAATTTTCGGTCTCTGTCAGATGTTATGTTTTACAAGCTCAATTCTACATACATTAATTTCCTTTTACATGAGGCTTTGAAAATAACTTGTGTCACCATCCTAATTGCTATTGGAAGCCTTTGAAATCTAAGGTGAACACTTTATAATTGGATTATATAGACTCTTTCATTCTAATTATGGAGTTTTTTGTTTTCTGCGTTCATGGTACGTAGCATTGTGATTGTTCTGTTTTTGGTATTGGATTGGGAGGTTTTTTTGGTTGTAAAAATTAGAGGAGAAGGGGACTTGAGGATAGAGATGAAGGGAATGGAAGGGGATGAGGTGGACAGTACTTAGTAGTATCCTTTATGAATGGTTCCCATGATTCTAGGCTTGATGATATTTTTTCTGAGCAGTTTCTAGAGTGATTATACTTTATTCAGTTTCCATATTCATTGGTTTTGTTGTGGGTTTTCTTGAAGATATGTTTCCTTTCTTACAACTTGAGGTGAGGTGAGGGAAAAATTAATAACTTTAAAAAAATGGGAAGCGAGTAAAATAGTTAATAGGGTTGTTTTTAAGGGTGAAACAAGTTGAGGTTTAAAAGCAAACAAAGAAATGTGTGGCTACCTACTTGTTTTACAGTAACTTGTTGAACTGTATTGACATAGTTGCTCTTCTATCATCATTTTGTTATAGTGCCATTTTACTTCAATAACTAGATTAAAACAATAGGCTACCTACCTGTATACACGAACGAAAATCCAGACATAAAAATGCATCTGGACTGATAGCAGGGGAACAATATAACGTTTGTATTCATTCTAATTGGCTTGATATTTCCATCAACAGTCTCACTGGAAAAATCCCAACTAGCTTGTTGGGCATTAAGATTATGAGACATGCAATCTTCAGGGCAAATAGACTATGCGGAGAGATCCCATAAGGCCGACCTTACAACATCTTCCATGCTTCAGCTTATGCTCGCAATCTCTGCTTATGTGGGAAACCAATGCCACCTTGTAGGGGAAAGAAACAAGAGACAAGTCAGTGAAATGCTGACTCAAATATTCCCAAAGTAGAAATATTCATGTTTGTACATCACTAGAAACATTTTTTTTTACCTTTTCCACTAGTAATTTCAAGCACAATTTTACTAATAACTACTACGGGAACAAACATTGTTTCAGTATGAAGTTTTAACTCTATCTATGATGAATAAATTATCTTTTTATTACTTACCAGCTTTGCATAACCATTACATTGAGACAATTAATGCTATGAAAGAACACTTTTGTCTTCATAAATGTGGACACAAGAAAATTTGAGGACTACCTCTAAAGATGAAATCTTGTCATCATCACTACTACTAATTCATGAAACTTTACTTTAAAGCAGAAAACTCGCTTCAGCCTTCTCATGTAAAAGAAGACAATATAACATGATTGCCAAAGAAAGGAAAAAGATTCATATCAAAACCCCAACACCTACCAGAATCCATTACCTTCAAGGGGATGAAAAATACGTATCAACCTCACAAAATGAGGGATGAATCATTGGAAAAAAAAATATGCCACCGAGGCACTGCCTACCAATCATTATACTTCCTTTTCAACAGCATATGTTTCCTTCTTTGAACCTTCTTCCTTCTAAACAAACAAGAAAAAGTTGATGATATCAGCTGTCAGCATATTTGATAAACGAGAGACCAATGTGTTGAGTTAATCGATCGACGGAATTGGCCAAGAGGGGGGTGAATTGGCAATTAAAAATTTCGTGGAAGCTTTTGCAGAAAATTGAAAGTAATTGCACAGTGATTTACAGTGGTTCGACTTTCTCAAACAAAGTCTACGTCCACTACCTTAGCTATCCACACTAAGGATTTTCCAACAAATTCACTAATTTGTTCTTTCTTTTGAGGCCAAAGAGATAACCTTACAAAATCCCTCAAGAGTATACCCCAACTCTTGAGAACACTCTTTTTCCCAAAGAGAATATTACAAATTTGCAAACTTACAAGAAAACCTCACAAGGTAAGATGTTTGCACAATTCTAGAACAAAGAAAAGAACACTCAAAGATAAATACAATTGAGTACAAAAGTGTTCTTGAAAGAAAATGAATATTGGATGAAACATAGGCTTGAAATGCTCAAACTTGAGGTTTGATGCTTTCTCTTTGATTCTTTATGATTTCTTGTTGATCAAGGGCTTCAGAACTTGTTTAAATACACCTTGAATCACTTCTGAACGTTGGGGATGATTAGTGAAGATCATATAGCCGTTTAAGTGTGAAAGCAATTAATTTTTCTAGGTGGAGCGTCTCATGCATCGATGCATGATCAAGGATGCATCGGTGCATTTGTGTAAAATTCAAATATTTTGACCGTTGGGACACTTAGTGCATCGGTGCACTAAGGATGCATCGATGCATAAAATGCATTCGATGTTTGAAAAATAGCCTGGTGCATCGATGCATGGCTTGTGCATCGATGCATCAAATGCATTCGATGTTTTGAAAATATTCAGAGTACATCGATGCATGGAGAGTGCATCGGTGCATGGAATGCATTCGATGTTCAATTATATCATCGATGCATGGACTGATGCATCGGTGCATGCCTTTGAATAATTGATTTAAGGTTTGTTTTTTGTTCAAAATACTTTGTGAAAATTGTTTCAAAAATAGTTTAAGTACAAATCACAATTTTACACATTTAGTAAGGATTAAAATTGATCTTGAAAAATTTGGAGTAATAATTTGATATTCGGTTAATTGAATCGAATATAAATTTGTAAAATCATTTGTAAAATCTTAAAATTCATTTAACTTAATTTGTTATATCGAAATATCAAAAATGTTTTCAACAATCTCCCCCTTTTTGATATAACAAAACATTTAAGTAATTTTAAGATTTGTTTAAGAAATTATTTTTGAAATTGATTTTGAAAAACTTACTCCCCCTTACTATAGCACATCAAAAACTTACTCCCCCTTACTATAGCACATCTTAAATTTTCTCCCCCTTTTTGTTAAATCAAAAAGACTCTATAAAACGTTAGCCAATTGATTTATTAATAATAAGCTGCTAAGATCACAATCAAAAGAGAGATTAGCATGGCATAATTTGGTCATAAATTTCTAATGATGCAAAATTAATAAACAGAAAGCGTTAAAATGTCAAACCAAATATATATAATAAGTTCAAGCATCCTCAAACAAACATCCAACAACTAATCAAGTTCAAAGTATCAATCAAACCATAAAAATCAAATCCAAGTTTTAAGAACAAGAAAGCATGGCAAGTAAGTCTACTCCATCGGAGGATCGGGAGGAGGATGTTGAGGAACGGGAGGACGGTTTTGGTGAGACCGACTAGAGGATGTCCTAGGGCGTTTAGGATTAGTCATGGTAAGGAAAATCGGAAAAGGAATATCACCTGCAATTTTAAAACACATGTATGCACAACAATTAATCCCAAAACTCAAATGAGTCCTCAATAATTCAAGGTTCTCTAACATAATCCTAATGGGCAAAGTTTTGAAAACTATTTTAAAATAATATCATAATATGTATAGTTTTCATGAAAACAACACAATTAAATCAAAACTATCACTTAATTTTATTTTTTTAAAATTCAAAATTTTAATTTTGAAAAATTATGTGTTTTTGATGAAATTCGTTGTAGAAACTAGTTTAGAATCATCATATAACCAATGCCCGATAATTATTTCAAACTAGAACTAATCTAAACGAGTCCTAAGTTCAAAAATTAATAAAATAGAGTTTTTGAAAAATTACCTTGAAAAATTCGGATTGAGGGGAAAGTGGAGATGTTTTGAGCAATTTAATGATTGTAGCATGTTTGTAGGATAAAAATCTTGAAGAATCCGATGATTTCCCGAAGATTTTGAGCAAAAATAGAGATTTGAGGGAGAGGGGGACGAACGGCCGTGTGTTTAGTGTTTTAGGTTTTGAGAAAATGAAGAAGAACCAGGGTTTTTGACTTAAAACCCGACGGATGCATCGGTGCATGGCCTCATGCATCGATACACATTCAAAGGGATGCATCGATGCATTGTTAAATGCATCGGTGCATAAAGCACAAAAAATGTCAAAAATCCGTTTTAAACACTTAAAATGCTAAATAATTTGGCTCTAATGGTATTGGCAACTCATATATCACAAATTAATTATGTTCAATCAATCAAATTAATCTTCAAACTTTATTTGAACATAAAATTAATTTTAACAGAGAATCACTAACTCCTCCTAACTAATAGCAAGAATGCAATAAAAAATTATTATTATAAGCATTTTTCAATATTATTTAAAAGTGCTAAAATATTTTTAAACACTAAGTGAAGATAGGTCAGTTAAACCTAATTCTCTCCTAAGTGTCCAAAATCTTTCTTTATCTAATGGTTTTGTAAAAATATCCGTTAATTGGTGCAAAGTATCAATAAATTCTAGAACTACATCTTCCTTAGTGACATGGTCCCT